AGCCGAACATCGTGTTCATTATGGCCGATGATTTAGGACCCGGCTGGGTTGACTATGACGGAAGCAATCCTGAGATCAACACGCCTAATCTCGAGCAACTTGCCAAAAGCGGCATGGTATTTACCAGGGCTTATTCCGCCGCCTCGGTCTGCTCGCCGACACGTGCAGCATGCATTACTGGCATGTCGCCAGCGCAAATTGGCCTAACAACACACGTCCCAGGCAAAGCTGATCGAGAGCGTCCAGGCCCCAAGGGTGGACCACGAGATGCAGAATCCCTTGACCATCTACCCATAGGCTTACCAAGCTATGCTCGGGAACTTAAGAAGCAGGGTTACACTACTGGCTTCATCGGAAAGTGGCACCTTGCCGGACAGGGTTCGGTCGATACCAAGAATGGAATCGTCAATTCTGCGTGGCATCCTGAACACTACGGATTTAACACCAACATTGGTGGCTGCGCTTTGGGACAACCGAAGTCATGGTTTGATCCCTATCGCAATGGAACGATCACCAACCGAAAACCAGGCGAGTACCTGACCGATCGGCTAGGTGACGAAGCTGCCTCCTTTATTCAAAGGAACCGCGACAAGCCCTTTCATTTGACATTATGGTTTTACTCGGTCCACACACCAATCAAAGCTCCGAGTGACCTGGTAAAGAAGAACGACGGAAATGCTTATCTGGCGATGCTAGAAAGCATGGACAATGCAGTCGGGAAGGTTGTCGCCACACTTAGATCGACCGGCACACTCGGCAATACTCTGCTTATCTTCTATTCCGACAACGGCGGCCACAAACCGACATCATGGCTCGCCGACAAGAAGGCATCACTTCTAGAAGGAGGACTTCGCGTTCCGATGGTTGTAGCTTGGCCCGGGGTAATCGAGGCCGGCACAACATGTGAAGTGCCAATCACCAGCATGGACTTTTTTCCGACCTTTGTGCACGCCGCAGGCGGGACCGCGGCACATTTCAAGCAACTCGAAGGGAAAGACCTAATGCCGCTGTTCCAAGGAAAACACAGCCTGGAACGGGATGCCCTCTACTGGCACTTTCCGCACAACAGAATGGAAGTGACCTATTACATGGGAAGCTCCATACTTCAAGACGATTGGAAGTTCTATCAGGGGCACGGCTTGATTGATGACGCCTTGTTCAATCTTAAGACGGACCCGATGGAAAAAGCTAACGTCCTTAAAACGAACCCACATCTAGCCGATCGGCTGCGTGAAAAGCTGTCAAAGTGGCTTAACACAGTCGATGCGAAGATGCCTATCGTGGTGCCCAATTAAGGACTAGTCTGCAGGAGAAAGATATTGAATAAAACCGTATTCGCTTTGTGCCTGTTGGCGTGTTTGGCGATTCGATTAGAAGCGGCGCAACCCAACTTTGTAGTCATCTTCACGGATGACCAAGGCTACGCCGATCTCGGCTGCTTTGGCGGCAAACACGTTAGTACGCCTCGGATCGATCAGATGGCGGATGAAGGCGCGAAGCTAACAAGTTTCTACGTAGCCGCTCCGGTTTGCACTCCGTCACGAGCGGCACTAATGACCGGTTGTTATCCGAAGCGGATTGAGATGGCGACGGGTGATAATTTCCCGGTTCTTCTGGCTGGGGATGCCAAGGGGTTGAACCCAAGCGAGATTACAATCGCCGAAGTACTAAAGTCCGCCGGCTACAAGACAGGCATTTTTGGCAAATGGCACCTCGGTGACCAGCCCGAATTCCTCCCAACGCGACAAGGATTCGATGAGTACTTTGGATTGCCTTATAGCCATGACATACACCCTTACCATACCCAGCAGAAGAAATACCAGTTCCCTCCTCTACCGCTACTCGATGGCGAAACCGTAGTCGAAATGGATCCGGACGCGGACTATCTGACCCGGCGAATCACCGAGCGAGCCATCGGCTTTATCGAGAAACACAAGGACGAGCCATTCTTTCTTTACATACCTCATCCCATTCCCCACCGACCACTTCACGCGTCGCCCCCCTTCATGAAAGATGTGCCTCAGGCCTTGAAGGCTAAACTTGCTAACGAGTCGAAAAACGACACGATCGACTATCGCACTCGTGACAAGCTACTTCGCCAAGCGATTGGTGAGATCGACTGGTCGGTTGGACAAATTCTGGATGCATTGAAAGAACGCGGACTCGACGAAAACACAGTCGTGATCTTCACATCG